TTCTTCCCTGCAGGTCTGCTGCCACAGGGCTAAAGGAGGAAAGCACTTTTCTCCTTGCAGCCTAGAGCATGTGTGGGGCAGGAGAAGAAGCCATGGCTGTATTTCTTAAGCCCAAGAATGCCTCTCAACACTGTCAGCTCCTTGTCCTGAGGGAGGTGTAGGGGTCAACTGCCTGCTGTGTGTGTGTGTGTGTGTGTGTGTGTGTGTGTGTGAGAGAGAGAGAGAGAGAGAGAGAGAGAGAGAGAGAGAGAGATCTCACCCCTTCTGCTTACCAGCTGGGAGACACTGCCCTGGGTGAGGGTGGAGAACCAAAGGGAGGACTCTTGGCTCAGAAGAGGTGTTTTGAGAGTGGAGACCCAGACAAAGAGAGTGAGGAAACTGGGAAAGGTAATGGTGGACAAGCAGCTGACAAAGCAACACTGTTCACATCCCTTCTCAGACTGGTTACATCCATGGGTGGGAGAGCTCTGCCTTCCAGTCTTCCTGACTGGTGGTTTCTAATGGGGCAGGAGGCAGAGGAACTGCTATGAGAGGCACAAAGCTTGCGGCAGGGCGCACCCTCTTGCTTTTGTCAGTCAGTCCCTCCTAGCCCCCTTCTCTGACCTTGGGACTGTGGGCAAGGAGCAGTGACCAGTGTCTGGGCTTGGCTGGGGCCCAAGCAAGGGGCAGTGGCTCTGTACACTGTGTGTGGCCACTGAGGATAGGCTATGTGGAGTAATCTGTCTCAGCGTCAGAAAAAGCTCTGTCTTGGCACCCCCCAGGTTAAGGAGAGCCTGGTTTTGTCAGTAGCAGGGAGGATCAGGGCACATGCCTCCGTCCGCCTTTTCTACTTTCAGAATAATCCACTTGGGTTGGACTCTGGAGCCAACGGACTGTACTTAATGGGGGGCAGGTGATTTCCTTCTGAGTGTTTCCCACCCCTTAATATCCAACCAAATCACTACCAACCAAATCACCAGGTAACTATAAAAACTGCCAGATTTGGGGGCTAAAGAATAGGGCCCAGTACTCTGTATTGTTAAAAAGTCCTCTCCAGATCTGTGCCCAGCCAGACTTGAGGACCACAGTAAGCAAATGGAAATCATAAAGAGTCAATGCCCTGGGAGGAGACAAGAAGGTATGAGCTCCCCCAGACCCTAGACTTCCCTTGGCTGATACCCAGTACAGTGGCTTCCCTCAGAGATGGTTGGGGCCAGGCACACAGGGGGTGACTTGTGATCACCAACCAAGCAAATGAACACAAGATAAAATGGGCGAATGGATGAATAACTCATTAGACTCAGGTGTCCAGGAGAAGCAGGACACGTGTAGGAAGGACTTCTCCCCGCCAGGCGCCCTGCCCTTCCCCTAACATGGAGCCAGATGGGGCAAGGGGAAGGGAGTTTGAGACAGAAGATCCAGTGTTGGGTGGGGTGGGGTGGGATGGGGCGGCTGGCAGTGATTTTGGGGGCAAAGCTGACCTCACTCAGATTCATGACTTTTCCTGCAAAAGAAAAAAGGGACCCAGGTTTCCCTGCATAACAGAGGGTGAGAGGCCAGTGAGGCAAGGAAAGAGTTCTGGGGTCTATTCCACCCTGGTTGATGTGGCTGAAAACAATGCCTCTCTCCAGGCCTCACTTGCCTGGAAAACTGAGGCTTGGAGAGATGCATGGTATCTGGTCTAGACTCCAGAACTCTCTCCTTTGCTTCACTAGCCTCTCATCCTGATAACTGAGTTTCAGATCTTATCATTTCACTCCTTTCTTGATACTAAGAGGGGAGGGCTTTGAAATGGAAGGAGAGGAGGTTCCATCTATCATCACCCACCTACCCAATGTGGCACTGTGAGCAGAGGTCCATCCTTTGGATGATTTTTTTCCAAGGGCATCCAGGGCCTGACTGGAAGGGTGGTTCTAACAGGGATGCCTGTGAGCACAGTATCAGAAATGGGATAGGGAAAATAGGCTGTGGGGTCAAAGGTCACCGCTTTGTAGGGGTCCTTTTGTGGGTGGGTGAGTGCTGAGCTGGATAGGAGAGAGACATGATCTGTGTCTGTCTGTCACTGGTCCTCAGTGCTAGCACCTACCCAGTGGTCCTCACTCATTCAGGAACTCAGCACCCCTTCCAATTCTACTCCGTTGCTTTCTCTAGCCTTGAAATCTAACTGGAGGTGGCAAAGTGTCCCAGCATATGGGCTGGCATAGAGTCAGTGCTCAGTGTTTGTGAATGAATGAATGAATGGTATTGCTTTTAAATCCTAAATTTAAGATCAAGACAGAAATGATCCTTGTTTTCATAGAATGTGCATTATGTGTATCAGGCAAATGAAATGGGGATCATATAGACTCCATGAAAGTTAGGAGCCTAAATAAGCTGGTGTACTCCATGGAAGGAGCCCTGGTCACACAGTGATTAAGCTCTTGGCTTAAGGTCAATGGTTGGAACCCCCCCAGCTTGGTGGAAGAAAGATGTGGCAGTCTGCTTTCATAAAGATTATAGCCTGGGAAACCCATGAGGCAATGCTTCTCTGTCCTATGAGGTCTCTATGAGTCGGAATAGACTCAGTGACAACAGATTTGGGCCTTGCATACAGCAGCTACTTGATAAATGATCGCTTCTGTCCACCTTCACCTCCTACTTCTGCCTTGCTTAGTCTGGCTTAGAGATTACTGTCTCCTTGCCACCCCCAGAAAAACCTGGATGCCACGCCTATGCGAACTAGGATGGTGGGAAACAGGGCTGTTACTAGCTGAGATCTTTATGTAAAGTCAGTTCAAAGGCTAGTGGAGGGGAAGGCAGCAATCCCCAAGGGTCAGGATGGGGCTCAGGTAGCAACTTCTTCCTTCGCGAGTTTAGGACTAGATCATCTGTGAGGATTTGATTGAGTGGGGGAGGTAGACAAGAGCCCCAGGACCCCAGCATACGCCGTTCGTTCCAGTCAGGCAGGTGAACTTCCTTAGAATGATGCCAACCTCTCCTCATCTAGGCTAAAAGGCCCCAGCAATTGTTTTTCTTTCTCAATTTGGTGGCTGGGACAAAAGACATTCAGGGAATGAATGAATGAAAAAATAAACATGGTGTCCACTGTCCAGGAGCTCCGTCTTTGGTAGAAGAGAGAACCATGTAAGCACACACAGATAGAAAGTGGCACACTGTCTGATGAAAGGATGTGGGGGAACAAATGGTCAGGAATGATAGATGAAGCCTGCTTGGGAGTAGACAGGAAGGTGCCCAGGCCACCAGGCTTTATGGGAGAGGAACTGTTTGAGCTGGGTCCTGGAGGAAATGCTTATCAGGAGACTAGAGGGGATAACTAGGAGCCCTGGGCAGAGGAAACTGCCTGGGTAGGCAAAATCCCAATGGCAAGATGGGTTCAGGGACCCACTGGTGGTATCAGAGTGTTTACTGGAATGTAGTGGGTACGGTCGGTCAGGGTGTGCTGCAAGAAGGGAGGCTGGGACAGAAGGAAGGAGCCAGATCACGGGGTGTGGAGTAGGGCTGGTGCTCTTATGCCAAGCCAAGGATTTGGAACCATTTCTGAGGACCAAAAGGGCCACTGCAGTTGTGCAGCAGAGAGGGATGAGACCAGATTTAAGTTTCAGGAAGACCACTTGGTAACCATAGGAAAGAAGACTGGGCAGTGCAAGATTGTAGAGAGACTCTGCCCATGGGGTTGGGGTAGCAGACACAGGTGTTTAAGGGGGTACTTGGCAGTACTCTCTGAGAGCCTTGATGGGGCATGAAGGTAGAGGAGATGTCAGGACGACTCTGAGACTTCTGCTGTGACCTGCTGGCTCAGGAAGAATAAGGCCTGCGTCTTCCAAAAAGCTAACAAAATGCTGGACACTGTCAGATAGAAACCGCTCGCTTTGCTTGTAGGAAAACCGTGTCGCCCTGATGGTATCCAGTACATTGTAGTGTCTGGGGTTGTTTGTGGATTGAAGAGGGTAGAGCTGAGGAAAGAAGAAGACACAGCAGCTGAGTCGTGATAAAGTGGATAGGCATTTCTAGTCTAGACGGAAAGAGGCTAAGGGAAATGATCAAAGGATATAAAGACCAAGAGCACTTCAGGCCATCACATGGCACAGATCTCTGTATGAAGCTTGAAAGTGGAAACAGCACAGCCAAAAGAAACTGCCCTTCCTTGGCTGACCATGAATGCTACAGGAGTACAGGGTTGGACACATTCCTGGTCAGTGGGTCAGGACGAGGCAAGAGGCATAAGTGCTGGATGGAACCACAGGATGGTTCAGTCTGCACCTTCAGGGGATGGAAGGTGATCCTCAGTTTGCCATTGTTGGGTGGTCCTTTGAGGAGGTAGTGAGGGGCTGACTACCCAGACATTTTGTTGCCCTTTTTTGGGCTTGGTTTCCTTATCTGTAAAAGGGAGGGTTGAGCTAAATGGCGTCAGTGGTGCCTTCTGGTTCCCACTTTTTGCTGTTGTCTTTAGGGGTCTGCTATTTTTCTAGGGTTGGGATGCACATAATGAGGAGAGAAGTGTGACAAATCAGAGGACAGAGATAGAACAGCCACCAGGATCAAAATCTGGAACCTTCGAGGACCTGAAACCTAGACACAATCATTCATCAGAGATGTACTGAATACTTGCTAGGTGTCTGTGTGGTGTCCTTGTATGGTGCAAATGGTGAATGCAGTTGGCTGCTAAGATGAAAGATTGGCTGTTTGAACCTACCCACCAGCATAGTGGAAGTAAGGCTTGGAGATGTACTTTGGAAAACCCAGGCATTAAAACAGGTTTTCTTTGAATGCATGGGTTTGCCATGAAGCAGAGTTGACTTGATGCTGACTGGTGTTACTGGTACTAGGTGTCAAAGACCATTCAGTCTAGGCTCTGACGATGTAGCAGTGAAGCAAACAGGTCCTGTCCTTACCTTAATGAATCTTACAGACTAGTGGGTACCCTGGGGCATGTGGGTCTCCTACTTGGGGGGTCAGTTGAGGCCCTCTTGGGCCCGGGAGGGTGAGTGACCTCAGTGGACCCCTGTGTGTGCTTGTTGCAGGTGTTCTCCTTGGCGCCGCCATTTGAGATGAACGGTCTCCCACGAGCTGTGCCTCTGAGCCTGCCCTACCAGGACTTCAAGAGAGATCTCTCTGATTACCGAGAGAGGGCACGGCTGCTCAACAGGGTCCGGAGGGTGGGCTTCTCGCACATGTTGCTCACCACCCCCCAGGTCCCGCTGGCTCCCATTCAGCCTCAGTCTAATGAGAGGGAGGAAGAGGAGGAGGAGGAGGAGGAGGAAGAAGAAGAGGAGGAAGAGGAGGAAGAAGAAGAGGAAGAGGAGGAAGAGGAAGAAGAAGAAGAAGAAGAGGAGGAAGAGGAGGAGGCAGTGGCCTTGGGGGAGGTGCAAGGACCCCGCAGTGGTTCCAGCAGTGAGGGGAGTGAAAGAAGCACAGACCGGAGCCAGGAGGGTGCCCCGTCCACGCTACTGGCCGACGACCAGAAGGAATCCAGGGGCCGGGCCTCTATGGCCGACGGGGACCTGGAGCCTGAAGAGGGCTCCAAAACGCTGGTGCTCGTCTCCCCTGGCGACATGAAGAAGTCGCCTGTCACTGCCGACCTGGCCCCTGACCCTGACCTGGGCACCCTGGCTGCCCTCACTCCTCAGCAGGAGCGGCCCCAGCCCACTGGCAGCCAGTTGGATGTGTCTGAGCCAGGCACCCTGTCCTCTGTCCTCAAGTCTGAGTCCAAGCCTCCAGGGCCTGGGGCAGGGCCAGGGGCTGGGGCAGTGACCACAGGGGTAGGGGGAGTGGCAGTCACCTCCTCACCATTCACCAAAGTCGAGAGAACCTTTGTGCACATTGCAGAGAAAACCCACCTCAATGTCATGTCTTCTGGTGGGCAGGCCTTGAGGCCTGAGGAGCTTGGTACTGGGGGTGAACTTGGCCTGGAGGTACCTTCTGATGGGGGTGCTGAAGAGGAGGGCGCTCCAGTGCCCCTGGAGAATGGCATCGCCCTGTCAGGGCTGGATGGGGCAGAGACGGAGAGCTGCGCCCTGTCCTGTCCTCCTGGAGACACCCCCTCAGAGGTGGCCACAGACTCACTGCCCAATGGCCCAGCTCTTGTTGATGGGCCAGCCCTAGCGTCCCCACTGGAATCAGGCCCCAAGAAACTGGCCACCATCTCCCCTAGCTGCCATACCATACCAGGGCCTCGTCTGAGAAGTCGTATCCCTGTCCTGCTGTCTGAGGAGGACACAGGCTCAGAGCCTTCGGGCTCACTGTCGGCCAAAGAGCGGTGGAGCAAGAAGGCCCGGCCGCAGCAGGACCTGGCCCGATTAGTGATGGAGAAGAGGCAGGGCCGGCTGCTGCTGCGCCTTGCCTCAGGAGCCTCGTCCTCTTCCAGTGAGGAGCAGTGCCGTGCCTCTGAGACGCTTTCGGGCACAGGCTCTGAGGAGGACACCCCCACCTCTGAGCTTGTGGTGCCCAGCAAAGCTGGGCGGGTGGCAGCCACCCGGAGCCGGATTCCCCGCCCCATCAGCATCCGCATGCCCACGCCTGCTGCAGCCCAGCAACTCCCCGGCAGACCTCATGGCGCAGTCCCAACATCTGACACAGCCATCACCAGCAGGTGAGAAACTGCTGCCCGTCCCAGAGTGGGCAGGGGGTGACCAAAGAAGGCCCCCACCAGCAGGGGCTTCTCCAGACCCAAGGTCAGGGGCTGCTGAAGATTGGGAGGGTCCCTCAGTTAACACCCCCCCCCAACTGTGCTCAGTCTCGTTTTACTAACATGGGGTTCAAGAGCGTGGATAGAGTTAGAATGTCTAGAAGGGGTGTCAGGAAGAACAGGAATGGGAAAGGGTAATGGGGGGTAATGGAGTCCACATACAACTTCTGGTATGCTTTGGGCATGTGAAGCTAACAGATATACCCAGAACACTGAAGAGATGGGAGACAACATTAAAACGTTATTTCATATTAATGCAAACATGACATGAGTATATGAGGAGCTTCAGGAAGTTAGTGGACAAATGGAATGAAAGGATACCGGAATTTTCCCAACAACTGCTTGAAAACCCCTAGTATTATAGTTTGCAAAGTCCATGAGAATTTTTAAAAAATGAAGCAGGAATTAAAGAAAACAACAGGACTAAACTCTGGGAGATGAGCGCCAAGCCTTAGTTTACCCATGTGTGCCATGGTTTCTTCATTCTCACCCAGCTCAGGAGATAGGATTTTAGGAACGACTCGGTGCCCATCAGGATTCTGACACTCTCTCCCCGTTTTCGTTTCTTTCTCCTCTTCCTGCTTGCCTTCTGCTCCCTATGCAGGCTCCAGCTGCAGAAACCCCTAGGGTCGGCCATTACTGCTGACCTCCGCCCCAAACAGCCTACTGGCCGAGGCCTGAGCACAGGCCGAGCTCGAGCCGGAGCCAAGCCCCCTGGGACCACCCCAGCCCCCCGCAGTCCGGGCTTCCCTGTGGCTGCTCGCAACCCCAGCGTAGCCCAGTCCCCACGGAGCCAGTCCCTGTCCCGCAAAGAGAGCCCCTCACCCTCGCACCAGGCCCGACCCTCAGGTCCCCCGCCCCGGGGAACCCCACAGACCCGGGCCCAGCCTGACAGCACCCCCTCCCCAGGGGGCCCCAAGAAAGGACCCAGAGGAAAACTCCAGACTCAGAGCGCAGTAACCAAAGGCCGGTCGGGGGTCATGGAGAGCCGAGCCGGGGCCAGATCATGACGCCTGAGGCTCTCCGCAGCCGGACTGGCCCTCTCCGGCCTCCCCCCTCATCCTGGTCCCCCACCCGCAGCCGGCCACACTGGCCCCCAGCACAGCCTTACGCGCCTGACGCGCCACCCGCGGCCCCAGCTTTCCGTCTGCACACGAGGCCGCGTGAGCACACGTCCGGCCCACTGGCCCGGCTGGTGGGGGCGCCGGACGGCGTGAGGGTGGTGGCCTGGTCACCTTCCTCACCCCTCTCGGACCCCACTGCCGCCCATCAGGCGGGGCAGGCTCACACCGGTCCCTCCCACCTGGGGAAGGCTCAGCCACTTTTCACCGAGGGCTCTACTCTCGGCTGTCCATTCACCCACCAGGCCTCCGTTGCTCTCCAGGATCCCCCAAAGACCTCTGCTTACACCTCTTGCGGCCCCTTTTTCTCCTCACCACCCTTTTCCACTCAGATCCGCCCCCTTTTCAAAGAAGCAGACCCAATTCCTGAAGTGGAGGTCCTTGCCTCCCCTGCCAGTCAACCCCCACAGTCTCCTGGGAGGCCTCTTCTCAACTGCCAGGATGCTGAGGAAGGGGGTAGGATTCAGGGGCCACTGGTCTACTCAGATGTGACCTGCCCCAAAGCCAACTCCATCTTGGACACCCCCCTGGGAAGACAATGGATAGGTGATTCTTAGGGGAGGCCCCCCTGCACTTCTAGGGTACAAAGACCCTTCCCCTTAAATTTGGATGGGGCCTCAATGAGAACCATGAGGTATGTGGGCTGCCTTCCTAGGCAAATGTTTCCCCATGGGAAGTTGGAGCAGGGATTCAAAAGAAGTTCCACCTCCTCCCTTGGCCCCCTGATCTAGTGCTCAGGACCCTTCATTGTCAGGAATTCCTTTGTGCCACCTCACTTCACAGTCTGCTCCTGCAGTTTCAGCCAACATCCCCCTGTCCTGAATTTAGTAGTGGTGGAGACTGACTAACTGTCATCTCTGTGCGGGCTCTTTCAGGGACTCAGTTCTGGCTTGGTCACCCTTTCTACCCACCTGACTGTGAGGAGTGAGCTACATCAGGCCACCATCTCCCCCAGTGAACAGAGGGGACAGAGACAGACAGATAGACAGACAACTGGTCCCTTACCTGAAGTAGAAAGGCCCTTCTAACTTCCAGTTTATATGCTTGTGTGATGGGTTCCCACCCAACCCCTCCCTGAGCTCACCCTTCAGTCTGTCCCCTCTTGTCCTAACTGCAGCCTGTGCAGCTGAGCCAGCTCTGCAGAGGTTAGAGATAATGCTGCTCCACAAATGGATGTGGGGCCGCTTCCTGGGTTCTGGTTTCCAAATAGTTCATCCCAGCTCATCCTGAGCCTCAGCGGCCTACATCTGGGAGCAGAAGGGATCTGGATAGGCCCCTGCAGGTCTCTGTCCTTCCTTGGGCCACAGAGAACAAGCCAAGACCTTCAAGGGAAGAAGAAGAAAGGTCCAGCGTGCCCCAGCTGTCTGGCAGCAGCACCCAGCCACCATCACCTGGAAAGAAACCCACAGGAAAGCTGGCCCCAGGAGCAGCTGGTGGGGCTAGCTGAACCCCCTCATGGAGAGCTGACAGGCTTGGGCAGCCACTTCTATGCCAAGGTGGTGACTTCTCTGCAGACCAGCGTAGGTGAGGCCTCTAGGGTGGGCAGCCTTTGAGGTTCACCCCACGCTGAAGCAGAAGCTCCCAGAACACTCAGGAAATCTCTCCAGACAGAATCCTCCTTGTCAACCCCGAAGCCCTCCCAAGACCCTCTGCTGCCCTCTGCATCCAGCAGAGAGCACACAGAGCAGGGGCTACTTCTCCCACCTAGAGCTTCTCTGAATGACAATCAGCTCGTGCCAGCTGGGGACCAGGGCGACTCTTGGTGCCCAGGCCCTGGGCCTGCTCCTTGCCACCAACCGAATCGTGAATGTAGGGCCCCCAGCCTCACCCCTGTCCCAGGACCAACAGCACCCTGGTTTGGAGTTAGGAGGAAGAGGAGGGCCTGAGATAGCCCCAGGCCCACCCCCACCCCCTCCTTCACCCAGCACTGGAGCTGGGCAGAGACGGAAAAACTCCATCTGCTTTGGGGATTCTTGACCTTCTTAGGGCTCCCAACAGACCTCAGGCCTCTGCATCATTGACTGTTGGGGGGAGGGGGGAGGATGCCTTGGGGGTGGAGGGAACTGATTCTGCTCCTCTCTCCAGGAAGGATCCAGGGCAGAGGAAACCATCTCTCCTAGCACCCCATCCCCAGCTGCAGCTTCTTCCCCCTTGATCACCCATCCCCTACACCAGGCCCTTCTGATCTTAAGCACCTCCTCTATTAAGATTGTCACCTCCACAGTTCACTGGCTCAGACATGGGGTCTACTCACACCAGATCACACCTTCCCTCCCCAGCCACACCAAGCAAGAAGGGGGGACAGGAGAGGGGCTGTGCTCCAGGCACGGGGCTCCCTGCTTCCCAGCTCCTTACAGGGTCCTGCCTTGCTCAGTCTTTTAGTTCCAGGGACCAGCGCTGGTGGGCATGGGGTAGGGACAGAAAGCCACCCTGCTCCTCCCTGAGGAAGTCACTGAAGAATGTTTACATGCCAAACAGAATGTAACAGCCCCCCTCCTCTCCACTCCCCAAGTCACTGCATGGCCTCTGCCCATCCTGCACCAGCCCACCCCCACCCCACACCCTGGAAGCCGCTGTCATGATTAGATCGGGTCTTGGAAGGGAAGTAGCCATCACACCATTAAAAAGCCTGTGGACCTTTCTGTTGGCCTGGACTCTTCTTCCCTTTGGGGTGGGGGGCACAGGGGAAGAGAGAAGAGGGCAGCATCGTGGGCAAGTGAGGAGGGCTCTTTACCGCACTGAGGTAGGCATTGCCTTCACAGGTGAGGAACGGGTTGCTGAGAGGCACAGGAGTGGGGCTGCCCTGCTTTCTCTTTGACAGTGAAACGTCAACTCTCCTAGACTTCTTTGGCAGATTACCCTGTTGACCAGAGATCCCAAATCTAGTTTTGTGCAGAGAGGGAGCGAGGAAAAACTTTCATTGTCCCAAAGGTAACAGACAACTGTGACAGTGTTTGGAAAACTCAAGTTCAGCAGCTCCCAGGCAAGGAAGAACAAAATCTATCAAAATCACAAATGGACATAACTTGTGACCCAGCCTCTCTACTTCTAGAAATTTATCATATGGATATAGTTTTACAATTGCAAAATTGTGTGCAAAGTTTGTCACTGTAAACTTGTTTGCATAGCTCCATGGTAATTCTGAACACCTGAAAGTTATGAAATTTTGATATTTTTCATGAAATTAGCACAAACTCATTTGGTACCAAAATCTTGACAAGACCATATGTAGTCTAGTTATTCCATTGATCATACTATTATTGGTTGTTGTTGTTGTTGTTAAGTGCCATAGAGTTACTTCTGACTCAGTGACCCTGTATAAGGTTTCCAAGACTGTAAATCTTTATGGGAGCAGAAAGCCTCATCTTTCTCCCTCATAGCAGCTGGGGAGCTTGAACCAATAATCTTGTGGTTCGCAGTCCTGTGTCTATTCTACAGAGCCACCATGGTCCTCATGTGTGTATACACACATATGTATTTCTTTGTAAATAAAGAGGAGTAGGTACTGGATGGAAAGGTCAGTTTGAATCATAAGGTTGATGGTTCAAACCCGTCGGCTGCTCCTTGGAAACCCTATACAGGGTCACTAAGAGTCAGAACAGACTTGACAGCACTTAACAACAACTTATACATACTATTCTGAAACTTGAATGCATAACCAACAATTGTTGTTGTTGTTAAGTGCCATCCAGTTGATTCTGACCCATAGCGATGCTGTATAGAGTTTCCAAGGAGCTGCTGGTGAGATTGAACCATTGACCTTGCAGTTCAGACAACTTTGCAGTCTGACGCATTAGCTCACAGCGCCACACCAGGACTCCATATCCAACAATATATATCTTAAAATACAGATCTTCTTCAAGTTCTTTCTTAAACAACTTTGTTGAGATAAAATTTACATATCACAAAATTCTCAAATCAAATCTGTTCTTGAGATCTCTAAATTCAGGTGGGATATGTTCAAGGTTACATTCGGATTCTTGTGGATTTGTTTGAATTTTCTTCAGCTTTAGCCTGAACTTGCATATGAGAAATTGGTGGTCTGTTCCAGTGTGCCCCAGGCCTTGCTTTGGCCGATGATATGGAGCTTTTCCACGGTCCCTTTTCACAGGTGTACTCAACTTGATTTTTGTGTATTCCATTTGGTGAAGTCCATGTGTACAATCGGCCTTTTAAAAAAAGTTTTTGTTGTGAATTGGGTGAAAGTTTACAAGGCAGATCATCAGTTTTACACTCAACAAATCATATACTTTGTTTCATTACACTGATTGCAATCCCCTCAATGTACCATCAGTTAACAGTATTTCTCTCTATTCATTTTAGCTTTTTAAAAAAAAAAACAAAAAAAAACCACTCAGGCATATATAATAATTTATACCACCAAAGGGCACATTCTGCAAGTCTGCCTCCTGGCCACCAGCTCTCAGTCCCTCTCTTTCCATGAGTCTAGAGTCCTCAGCTGCTCCCTCTCTCCATGTCCGCATCTCTGCCTCCATTTCTGGTGTCACTGCTTCTCTGGATAAGGTCCCACATTCCACTTGTGCTCTTCTCCCTTGATAGTCCTAAGGTCCTCTGTTTCTGGACTGTAAGATTAGCTACTCCCCCGTTTTTCTAACAAAACTTTACAATCATCTTTCATGCTATTTTAAAAAGTCATTGGTCTTGCAAAATTCTATCAACATTCTCCAGCAGCATTTCTATCACCAAGGCCTTATTTTCCAACTATGATCCTTTCTCTGTTTCCAACCTTTGCATTCTTATCACCAGTCATTACCAATACATTCATTCCTGCATTCCACTTGTGCTCTTCTCCCTTGATGGTCCCAGGGTCCTCTGTTTATGGACTTTAAGATTAACTACTCCCATGTTTTTGTTACAAAACTTCTACC